AATATAAAAATTCATCACGATTTTCCGCACACAAAAATAAGTAAGTAAAAAGTAAGTAACATTTATTTATATAGCGCTTTTCACAGATAAAAATCACAAAGTGCTTTACAACACAAGAAATGGAAATATAAAACAATGTAACAGTAAATAAAACAACAATGTAAAACAATAAAAACAACCTAAGAAGAAATTAATCAAATGCTTTTCTAAATAAAAATGTCTTCAGCTGTTTTTTATAAGAATCAACGTGCAGCGCAGAGACAGTGGAAGACACAACCGTGATGCCGCTGCCTGATTGGCCCGATCACCACGAGTTTTAAAACGAGTGCGTGGTACCACCAGCCGTCTCTGGTCTAATGAACTTAAAGCTCGAGAAGATGAATTCGGTTTCAGCAGGTCAGATAAATATTGGGGAGCTTGACCATGCAGGGCCCTAAAGGTTAGAACTACGATTTTAAGATGAAACCTAAAACTTACAGGCAACCAGTGAAATGAGGCTAAAACTGGAGTAATATGAGATCTTCTCTTGGTGCCTGTTAAGAGACGTTCTGCAGCATTGTGCACAGTCTGAAGACGATTTAAGGCTGATTTGTTAAAACAAGTAAAAAGACCGTTACAGTAGTCTGAATGGGAAGAAATAAAAGCATGAATAATAATCTCAAGTTCAGGCTTTGACACCATTTAGTCTGAGTTTTGAAATATTCCTTAAATGATAAAAACAAAAGTACCCAAACCTGTATAAGTAGTATAAACAACAGCATGATTATGGATGGATTAAAACTTATAAGTGCCATGTTTATATCACATTGCCTCCTTTTCTTTAGGTGAGGGAGAGCCGTGACCCTGAGAAAGCCAAGACGTGTCTGGCTGCCATTGAGGAGTGTGCCCGAACCAGGGAGGGCAACCTTTTAGCTCTGGCTGTGGAGGCATCAAGAGCCAGGTCAGAACTGACTCAGAAAAGCTCTTTTGATCAGTCTTATGTCTGCGTGAACGCTGCTTCAAAACCTCAGTCAGGCTGCAGTTTTATTCTGGTCTGTTGTTCCTTTGTTAATCAGTGTAAATCGTTTCCTAATCAGTGCCTTCAAATGAGCAGAGTGACCTTTTCCAGCACTAGAAGGGCGATCGTGGCTCAAGAGTTGGG